GGAAGTAGCTCAACCCACTGTGCCACAACACCAGCTCCTCTGAGCAATTTTAAATATAGGTACCATGGCCAGTGCTGTAGTTTAGCAGGTAAAGCCACCGCCTGCAGTGCCAGCATCCCATATGGGCACCAGTTCAAGTCTCGGCTGTTCTTCTTCCGATCCAGCTCTCTGCTATGGCCTGTGAAGGGAGCAGATGGCGGCCCAGGTCCTTGGGCCCCTGAACCCATGTGGGAGACCTGGATGAAGCTCCAGGCTCCTGGCTTCCGATCAGCCTAGCTCCGGCCAGCGCAGCCCTTTGGAGAGTGGACAGCGGATGGAACACTTTCTCTCTCTCTCTCTCCTTCTCTGTAACTCTGCTTTTCAAATACATAAATAAGTAAATAAAAATTGAATCTATATATCGTGATTATTTCGTGAACAACCAATTCACAATTCTAAGTCTTAAGGTGGGAGCTTAGCCTAGGTGTCGGGATACCAGATGCGAAGGCTACACCTCGCTTCAGAGTGCCCGAGCCTGATGTCTAACTCCAGCTTCCTGCTCATGCCAACCTAGGGAGACATGGTGATGGCTCAAGTACACTGAGCTCCTAGAAGTCATATACACAGCTGTCAGGACTTCTCCGTGCCTGGGCCCTGCCCAGACTATGCCACTTGGTGTCTCCTCTGAGGCCATAGAGTGAGTCACGGCCCCTGGCCAGACCTAACTGGGTGGGAGCAGCCATGATGGCTGACCAGCCACCTGTCCCTTTCCCCAGGCCCATCTCTGGATCAGCCCTGCTACACTGGCTTGGCTGAAGGCCCTGGGGCAGTTAGACAGGAAGTGCCAACATCATCTGCAGGTTATGGCCTACCTAGCCCCATGTGCCTGTGCCCTGCCCCTCCCCCAACCCAGGCTCCCTGCAGCCCTGAAAGGTGTTCTATGACCTCACAATGCTGCCTATGACCTCTTTGCTCCCTCTGCCTCCCCCACTCACCACGTGGATGAATATTACCCACTTTTAATCTTCACACTGGCCTCAAATGCCACCTCCTCAAGCTGCAAGTCCATTCCGAACCCACCTCCCTCACCTAGCCACGCAGCTGGCCTATTGCCGCCTTTCCCCTGCCCCTCTCAGAGGACTCTGTCACCCCCACGGTGTCTCCTGTCTTGTTCTTCTACTTCCACCACTGTGCAGCCAATGCCTTTGCCGTCCACGAGCCCAGTGAATACGGTTGAGCGTCCCATCTGATTTGTCAAAGAGATGAGGGGCAGGCAGAGTGTCCTAGCACTGGTCTGTCTGGGTAGCCTCACATCCTTGCTGGTTAGTTCCTCTGAAAAGCTGACCTCCATCCTTGCGATTATAAAGCCAATTCATTTTCTCTTAATTCTACCTTCTCACTCTCAAACCAAAATGGAATTCATCAAGTTGAAAAATCACTCACTTCCATCTGGTCTACTTGCCCAGAGGGCAAAATGTAACAGAGTTTGTATTTTTTCAAATATCTCCTGGTCTGACCGCACCGGGCATTCAAAGCCCAAAACCCCACAGACCCGCTCTGAAAGTTATTCCCAAATTACCGAATCTTTGAGGTGTGCCTTACCCTCTCCAAGATGATAAAAGACACGAGGGAAGGGAAAAAATGCAATTAACCAAGCAGGGGAGGAAGCAGACATAAGCAGGCCGAGGGTTAATGGCAGCAACATAAAACAAGCCGGGGCAGAGGCTCCCCCAAAACGAGACAAGCCTCAGGGACATGCACACCTGCGAGGCAGCAAGCCAGAGAGGGGGTCTCGGCACTGCCTCCCCTTCCACTTGTCCTATGGGGCAGCGCTACCCCATCGGAACGGTTAAGGTCAGACACCAGCACCTTCAGTATGGCCTGCATCTAGAGGCGGTGAAAAGGGGAAAACAAGGGCAGGGGAAGACACAGAGACGTGGCTTAGAGAGAGGTGAGGATGTCGGGGAAGGAAGAGGTGGAGTCAGGAAACGGAAGCTGAGGAAGAGCAGAGATCCACACCGTGGCCCCCAGGCCATCCTCTCAGACTGGCCATTGCTGCCTCGCCAGACAGAGGGAAAAGTCCCCAGGCCCCAGAGTCACATGAAGCGCAGTCACTGACCAGCGCGGCTCTCAGACCCTCCCCCAGACACGACCCCCACTCTCCATGTTAAAACCAGACTTCTGCAGAAGGGTTCTCTTGAACAAGGGAGGCTACAGCTCAACAATTAGAAGACACTGTTCCAATCCAATAATATCTGACAGCCTGAAACTGAAGCCCAGGGGAGGCTGTGACTTTTCTGAGGTCACCCAGAGCCAAGGCCGAATCCCAGTGCCTGGGGCTTCCTAAGGGGACAGCCTGATGGCCAGGCTGCTCTCGCTGACCTGGCTTTTCCTGAGGCCAGGGATGAGGAAGTCGCAAATACCAGCGACTATGAATGTTACAAGACCCTGTATTCTGGATTAATATGAGAACAGCAAAAACTCTCAAACTTTGTGAGTAAAACATCAGCCCTATCTATTTTACAGATGTGGAGAGAGAGGCCCAGAAAGCTTGAACAATTTGCCTTACATCATATCCCTAGCAGAGGGAAAGGGAGCATTCAGACCCAGAATCCTTGACCAGTATCTAACACTCCCTTCCTCCATCTTCCACTGTCCTCTGGATCCCCAACCCCCCACCCCCCATTGCCCCTTAGCCCCCGAGCCCCCAGCAGCCTGGCCAGCCAAGACTCACATCCTCAGTTGAGTGACAACCCCGAGAAGTGGTTGTCTCAGGGCTACTGCCGTTTTCAAGGTTTTTCTTCTTTTTTCCTCCTGCAGGACCACCAGGCCTGTTCTTCCGCTGATACTCTCTTAACTGTGGAAAGGAAAAGCAGTTGATTCTCTGGAATGCCCTAAGCCCCTGCGGTCACATCCTACTTCACAGTGTTCACAAGAACTCTCATGCCCACCACTGACTTCATGCCACCGACAACCCTTCAAGGGGCTGGAACGATCAGTTAACGTCTGAAGAACTGACAACATGGCTTCAATAAAAGGGAATGATGGAATTTAAAATCAGCTTCCAACTCTCACTTCTGGGGTTCTGCCAAGAATCAGCAGCTGCTGGGAGCAAAACCAGAGGTAGAGGTAGAAGGTTAAACATTATGGGGTCAGGAATTGTACTTTGTGTGGTTTGGAAACAAGACATTGGGTCCTTTCTTCCATATCAGAACCTCACAGAACTTCGAGGGGCACCCCGAGGAACCCTGGACACCGAGGAGAAAGAGTAGAACCCAGGCATTATTCCAGTCAAGGGCCCATTATGATGTCATGACAGGTTCCGTCCCAAGCCACAGGGCAGCCTCACCAAGCTGCTCCCTCGCTCCTCTGTGGCAGTGCCCTCACCCAGCTTCAAAAACTCCCCTGGGGAGGGTTCAGGCTATAAAGTTTAGTCTCCCAAGGTCTGTTCCACAGACGGTCACACAGCTGTCACTCCAGAGAGCCTGAGTGTGGGGCACTCTGCTCCCAGGGTCAGGGAAATTGAATGTGAGCCTGAGAACTCGCACACCCCCCAAAGTCTCTGGAGAGTCGAAACCTGGGGGAAAACCAAACCAGTTTTCCCGCGGTCACCCAGAAACACTGCCCACACTTCCAGCTCCCCGGGAACGGGACACATCTCACTGTCAGTGTCCGAGCTGAGGAAGGGGGTCCCCAAGCCCCCAGTCCCCTTGCAGGCAGAAGCAGAAAGGGGGTGAGGACTTAGGGGACTGGGCCGGGAGATCAAAGCCCGAGCTGGAGGTAATGCCAGTCCCAGGGGGATTTGACCTCACCACATCCCACTCTGCCCTACCCACGCTCTGCGCAGGGGGAGGTGGGGCACAGGGTAGGGACCCGAGTCCTTGGAGACTGAGCCCACAGACCCCAAGGAGGTCCGGCTTCGGGAGGCCGGAGGTGAGGTCTGAGGCTGGGCCGAGGAGCCCCAGGAGCCAATGGCCCAAAGTCACCCAGGGGCGACAAGCCAGGGCGGGGGCTGGGTGCTGAGGGGGCGGTGCTGGCTGAGAGGACTTGGGTGGGGGAAGCCAAGGGGCGCTCGGGCTCGACCCGAGTGTCTGAGGAGCCGCACAGACCCCGCCACGGACCGACCGTCAGAGGGGCAGTGGGCTGGGCCGGGGGGCGCGACCCGATGTTTTACCTTTTTCTTGGCCGCAGCCAGTTTGCTCTGTCGGGTTTCCTCCGACATCGCGGGGCGAGGAGGGGGCGGGGGGAGGGGGGGCCACATCACCACGATCCCGGCAACCAATGCGAATTGCTCCCAGCAGCTACCGCGCAGATGTGTGACTGAGCCAGGAGACGCAGGTTCAGGGCAGAACTAGGCGGGGCTGGGTGGGCGTGGTCGCCACACTTCAAGCCCATTGGTCAGTGAGAAAGATGAAACAAAGAGGGGCGTGGTCCGAGGCGTCAAAATGGGAGCTGCGCATGCAGCTCTGTCACCGCCCACTCTGGGGGCGGGGCGATTTCCCTTGGGTGCGCGCGCAGCTTTCTCTAGTTAGTCTGCGGACCCCAGAGGCCGCTCTCCGGCCCGCGCCCTGGACCCCCTTTCTCCACAGGCACCCCCGAACCGGGGCCTTCGGAACCCAGGGCTCAGGAGGTGGGCGGAGCGCAGAGCAGGGGACACTGCATCAGTTCACGAGCCCTTTCTGACTCCTCCCAGATGTGCCCCAGACGTTCTCGTTTCAGAAATCCCCTCGGGGGTCCCTTTCACGTCCTCCATACACTGCCCCTCTCACACCCAGCCCTTCCTCGAGGGGCCCCACACTGATCCCGAAAGCGCGTCTGTCCCCGCCCAGCTGGATCCAGTCGGGCGCGCCCAGTTCCCGGCGGCTCCTCCTCCCGCGCCCCCACGGGCTCCCTTTCCCCTCAGAGCAGCTCCGGGGCCTCAGCCTCTCCCATGCTTCCCTCCAGGGCTGAGCAGACCCGGCCGCAGCTGCCGCGGGGCCTTCCGGTCACGGTGAGTAGCCCGCGCCCCCCGACCCTGTGCGTGTGTCTGCACCCCCCGACCCGTGAGGAGGTCTGTGCCCCCGACCCGTCCGTGTGCCTGCGCCCCCCGACCCGTGTGGATGGTTGCAGACCCCATCCCGTGAGGTTGTCTGTGCCCCCCGACCCGTGTGTGTGCCTGCACCGCCCAACCCCATGAGTGTGCCTGCGCCCCCCATCCGTGAGGATGTTTGCGCTCCCGAACCGTGAGCATGGCTACGGACCCAGACCCCGTGAGGATGCCAGCACCTCCCGACTCCGTCATGGTGGCTGCACCCCCCGACCCGTGAGGAAGTCTGTGCCTCCAGACCTCGTGCATGTGCCTGCGTTCCCAGATCCGCGCGGATGTCTGCGCCCCCAACCAGTGAGGGTGCCTGCGCCCCCTGACTCCGTGCATGTGCCGGAGCCCCCAGACCCTGTGAGGATTTCTGTGCCTCCCGGACCGTGAGGGGGCCTGCGCCCCCCGACCTGTGAGGAAGTCTGCGCCCCCCAACCCCATGAGTGTGCCTGAGCCCCCCGACCGGTGAGGATGTCCAGGCCACCGAGCCGTGAGCATGGTTGCGGACCCCGACCCCGTGCGGGGGGCTGCAGTAGACATCAACCCGTGAGGGTGCCAGCGCCTCCCAACCCCGTGAGGGTGCCAGCGCCTCCCAACCCCATGAGGGTGGCTGCACCCCCGACCTCTTGAGGTTGCCTGGGCCCCTCGACCCGTGAGAGTCCACCGACCAGAGAAGATGCCAGCACTCCCGACCCTGTGAGTGTGCCTGGGCCCCCAACACTGTGAGAATGCCCGTGCCCCCCGACCCGTGAGGGTGCCCGTGCCCCCTGACCCGTGAAGTTGCCAGCGGCCTCCAATCCGTGAGTGTGCCAGCACCCCCGATTCTGTGTGGGTGCCAACGCCCTCCATCCCGTGAGGATTTCTGAGCCCACCCAATGTGGGGAGGATGTCTACGTGCCCCCCCCCACAGTGGCAGTCACAGCTACCCCCAGCCCTCCCCCACCCCAACCACAGCCCACAGGTGGGCCTTCCTCAGTCTTCCTGGGCAGACAAAACTCCAGGAGGCTCCCGAGCTGTCTTTCAGAATCCCTCTCAGTGGTCCCTGAGGAGCGTCAGCCAAGGTAGGTACCTGCCACTCTACCTGCCTCAGGACCGCATCTGCCCCACTGCACCAGCCCCACACTGGAGGGCGCCCCTGGGACCTCAGGGCCAGGCCCCTCCCTCTCCCTACTGCAGCTCCAGATTCCCTCTTTCCTGTTTCTGTCCTTGGGCCAGCTGGCTCTCTCCTCTCCCTTCCCAGGCAGCCTCGGGACTCAGTGCAGCTGCCCAGGGCCCCCGTGGCTGAGCCTGGGGGTTCTCTGGACAGGATCCGAACCACTGGCAGATGTGGGTGCCTGTTGCTGTTGATTTCTCAACAATGTTGCAGTGGATTCATTTCTGAGAGGAACAGCGTGGTGGGGGCAAGAGGCGCGGAGTCACTACACAGACCCCGGGAGTCCAGTGAAAGCAGGCTTGAGGTGAGCAGCCGGCAGACTTGTTTATTTCAGTTGAAACTACCTCTTATATAGCCAAGACAGGCCAATATGGTCAAGGGGCAGTCTATGCCCCATCCAATCACAGCCTGCCAGGCAGTTTCCAATGCCATCCAATCACAGCCTGCTAGGCAGTTTCCAAAGCCATCCAATCACAGCCTGCCAGCAGCTTCCAAAGTCATCCGGTCACAGCCTGTTGCCAGGCAGTTTCCAAAGCCATTCAATCACAGCCTGTTGCCAGGTGGGTTTCAAAGCCATTCCTGAGTAACTGATGCTCCCTTGCTAGTGGCCACCTTGGCATGGCCCTCTCATTCCACCACACCAAGCCATAACAAAGAGCTGGATCAAAAGTGGAGCAGCTGGGACTCAAACCGGTGCCCATATGGAATGCTGGCACTGCAGACAGTGGCTTTACCTGCTACACTACTGTGCCAGCCCCAGAACAAGCATGTATAACACAGCAAGTTAGAATATTGGATTTTGAATATGAATTCACATTAGGATATGCTTTATATTGTAGGAGTTTATGGATAGAGGTTATGGGCAAACACAAGACTTGTGTAGGTAAGTTTTACATAGATACTTAGGCATGAAGATAAATTTTTCATTACCTACACAATCATATTATTGAAAAATAAAAATAGAGATAAAGGATGGAAAAAGAAAGCAGAGTAGTCATATGTGATTTTTTTCAGGGCCCATATAAATAGTGACACTTTGGTAAGGGATTTTTCATGAGATTGTTTTAAGGAAGAAATTTTTCTGAAAAGGAAACTCAAATGTAGCACACACTTATTTTCTATGATATTTCTGCTTAAGCAAAGTGCTTATGCATGTATTACTTTCTTGTAAATTCAAAATTATCAGACAGTTCATCGAGAAAAACAACAGGAGAAAGTAAAAAAATTGATTTAGAGTTCACTTTTCTTTTACAATATAGACTGACAAAATATTTTTAAAATAAATGTAACCCTTGATATTGTAGAAATATTGCCATATTGCAAATGTGTGAAATATGGGAAATACTTATAAATAGTAAAAACACAAAAAGACATACACACACACACATAAACTGTACACATACTAGGGTCCATTCTTATCTTTAGGGGGAAAGGACTCAAAGACAAATGTCTCCCCAGTTTTTTAACTCAGAACTACTCTCAGTGGTTCACACATTTTACTGATGAGTAAACTTGCTTCAAGTTTTCCGTGAATAGAAATTGAGAAATTTGTCAATTGTACTCTATGGAGCATGTAAGTGACCATACCATAAACTCTCAAATGCAATGGTGTGTTGGAGTTCTTTCCTGGATATTGTTCCTGACCTTGTGGGCAGTGAGAGCCACAGGAGAGTTAAAGGTACTTCAACTGACAGATCTGTTACTTGGAGGCTCCACAAGGAATCAATGACATCTTTGTGCAACTTGAGGGCTTGGCTGCTCCTCTTCTGATTCAGCTCTCTGCTATGGCCTGGGATAGCAGTAGAAGATGGCCCAAGTCCTTGGGCCCCTGCACCATGTGGGAGACCTGGAAGAAGCTCCTGGCTCCTGGCTCCTGGCTTCGGATTGGTTCAGCTCCAGCTGTTGTGGCCAATTGGGGAGTGAACCATCAGATGGAAGATCTGTCTCTCTCTCTCTCTCTCTCTGCCTCTCCTCTCTCTGTAATTGAGACTTTCAAATAAATAAATAAATCTTTTTTAAAAAAAACTGTCAAATAACCCAGCTTACAGGTCTTAAGAGTACCTGAAGATGTAGAAAGAGAGAATGGAATAGAAGGCCTATTTTTGTGAAATAATCACAGAAAACTCCCCCAATTTGGAGAAAGAAAGGGATGCCAAGTACAGGAAGCACATAGAACACATAAGAAACATGACCTGAAAGGATCTTCACCATGACACATTGTAGTCAAACTTTCCACAGTAAGGCATAAAGAAACATGTTCGTATGTGTTTTCTGCTGTAATCAATTTCTAAAGTGTATACACTGACAAGAAGAACTACACAAAGTACGGTCATTGAACAAGGTATATCTCCTGAGAGGGGCTCCAGGCGGCTCAGCCAGTGCTACTGTTTGTGTTTCCCACACCGCAGGAGCCCTCAGGAGGATGCTAGGACTCCGGTATGCAGTGGGCTGGCCGTCAGGACCACGGGGTGGTGTGCAGTCCCCGCCTGCAGCTTCTTTGAACCCTGGGGCATCAGCTTTCCAATCTCTGTGTGGTGAGGAAGAACTTGAACTTCCTGTATGACCCGATTTCCTTGAGTGAGGCAGCAGATCTCAAGCAGGCCTCTCGGCGTAGGGGTCTGGGTCAGTTTTCTTGTTGCTAATCGTGCAGCAGCACAGGCTCGGTGCGTGAGAAGGAAGCAGTATTATTGACCTCATGGTTTTGGTGCAGGTCTAGGGGCAGCATCTGGTGATGGTCTTCTTGTTGGTAGAGGCCTGGGTGGCACAGAGACCAGTGGACAGACAGAAGGGGTGCAGAGGGGGCCAATCCAAAGTGGTCTATGTTGCAGTCCCCTAGGGATAAGGCATTAATCCATGAACACATGAGTGGATTTATCCTGATCACTTCCTGCAGGGCCTCACCTGTTCTCACTGCTGAATTTCTCATCACTGGATTAACTGTGCCCATGAGTTTCAGAGGGGATAAACCATGTTTAATAGAGAGCATGCAGGCTTGCAGGAGGTCCCTAAATTTCCAGGTCTCCTCCCACCTAGTTTTGAGATTTAGTGCTTCTGCCCCTCATGTGGAAGAAGGCACCCTTTCTTAGGGCTTTCAAGGAAAGAAGGAAAGGACTTCAAGCTTTTCTTCCTACTAGGATCACCTATTATTTTCATTGCTTGCAACCTCATCCGATTTTCTGAATCACGAACATGCATATTGCCTGAGTATTACCAAGAAAATCTTACAAGTTGTCATGTGACATGCTAGAAAGGACCCGTGTGTGTTGAATGTCCTTATGTACTTCTGTTGCCATATCAGGGATTTTGTGCCTCAAAAAATGTTCCTAAGGTCATATGTTTATATTTGTTTTTGACAGGCAGAGTTAGACCTCGAGAGACAGAGAGAAAGGTCTTCCATCCATTGGTTCACCCCTCAAAATGGCTGCTATGGCTGGCATGCTGCGCTGATCCAAAGCCAGGAGCCAGGTGCTTCCTCCTGGTCTCCCATGCGGGTGCAGGGCCCAAGCACTTGGGCCATCCTCCACTGCCTTCCTGGGCAGCAGCAGAGAGCTGGACTGGAAGAGGAGCAACTGGGAATAGAACTCGGGGCCCCAACTGGGACTAGAACCCAGGGTACTGGCGCTGCAGGCAGAGGATCAGCCAAGTGAGTCATGGCGCCAGCCTATGTACTTTTTTTAAGCAGTTCATAGTGAACAACATTTTCATTATTTTCAGTTCAGGAGAGCCAAAGTGTTATCTTGTAGTTTTTTTTTTTTTAAGAATAAGCTAAGAAAAATCCTGTAGTACTTATAATATACAATGAACTATACTATTAGATATAAATTAAATGTTATATTTTTATGAAGATAAATGCCTAGTAATAAAAGCAAATTTTAAGTTTATTGATTTATAGAATTTCTCTTTTGGAAGGGAACCTTCAATATCAGCCATTTTCATTCAAATTATAATATTTTTTCACTTTTAAGCAATCTCTGGTGTTATTAAGATTTCTTCACTAAACTTACACATGAATAGAATTATCTTAAAATACATTATTAATTACTTAAATACATTAATATAACACATCGGAAAACAAGTCTTACTACCTGCTATTGATTATAGTTATCAGAAGTATTAAGATGTTGTCACAAATTTGAAACAAATAATTGTTTTGTCTCTGAAGTGATTTTTCAGGAATAATGAATAATGGAAATCTATAAGAGATGTTTGGATAACATCTGCCTCATGGACAATTCATAGAAATATAGTTATTTATCTCTAGTTGTAGGCTTAATTTTGAAGTTATCATTTTTATGGCAATTGTGATAATACAAATGACCACAAACCAAATAATAAAATAATTGAAATTCCTATACTTTGAGAAAATGGATAGCTTCTGTTAATGTACCAAACATAATTTTTCTATACTAATTTATTAGAAACATTTCAAAAATATTTCTTTCAATTTGGGGAGAGGTAAAGTAATGAAAAAAATCAAAATTTCTGAAAATTAAAGTATTTGCATTTAATTTGTTCATTTTCTGCCTCATCACCAATGTAGTTCTTTAATTGGATAGAAAAAAAGTAGATTCAGAATCTACATTTGTTGACCACTAATAACAGAGTAGGGCAGTGAAGCATCATTAGCCCAATGAAACTTACAGGATTTCAGTGGTGGGGAAATCAGGACTCTTTCTGAATTTTGTTAGGGAAATGTGTTCTCATTTTATGTGGCGCTGTCTACTTTTGGTATTTTATTTTAATATATATTTTAAAGTTTCAGCAGAACTCAGCACTAGGAGTGTCTACCTTATTTTTTTGGGAAAAATCTGACTAATTTTTAAGAATGGGGGCATCAATATTGTTTCATTTTCTCAGTTTTGAATATAGTGTGTCATTCTGTGAAAACCACCTTGCCAGTGTGCTTTTTGTTTAGTTTGCTTTTTAAGTACAAACTTGAAAGTTTTACTTATAAAAAGTGACCTTTATGTTTTTCCATATGATTGACAGAGCTTTTACCCAGTTATCTTCATTGTATGACAATAAATCTATTCAATAAAGGTTAACAAATGCATTAAAAGTGCAAATAATCACTATGGTATGCTTGCTGGTTTTATTTATGATGATGTATTGATCATCTCTGTCAGGTACTGTGATAGATATGTCTATTGGAAAATATAATTTCATTTCCCAAAAAGGCAAGCAAGTTAAAACCCTTCTGCAATTATGAAGTCATCCTCTGATAACCTACTCATTCATTTCTTGGTGTCAAAATCAAGAACCAATTATCTGTTTGACTTGGAGATATTAGGTCCCTGTGGTACTATGAAGAAAATTATTTAGTGCCTTTCAGCTAGTGAAATGATGATTGGTGGGTCTGTTTGTTGAACAAAAGGGGGGAGGGGAAGAGCACACATTAGCTATAAGGCTGTAGCTATCTCAGTGGAGGTAGTCATTTCAGTCTTTGGAATTAATTCTAGAATTTAATGATAACTTTAAGATTGTGTAAAAAGTGGTTAGTAAAAAATTTATTTACCTCATTATATAAACATAAGACTATGTTTTAAAACCTTCTTTCCCAGCCAAGATACTCATTTTAATACAAAATGGGAAAATATTCAATACAGTGTCTCCTTTTGGAGGCTTCCTACAAGTGAAAGCAGATTTGTGGGGGATGATTGGGTTTTGAGCAACTTCCTTGCTTCCAAGACAAAACCCACATTGCCTTCATCTGTCCCTAAAGTGCCAGACCCAAGATACTTTTAAGAAGCTACTGTACTCCACCTGCCTTGGATGAAGCAAGCAGCCCCTTTGCTACCAGAATTCCCCAGAAACAGCATGGGCATTTTCCATGGTAGAGACAGCCCTTGTGAATTCTGCAACTGCAGGAGCTCTGGAGCTCTACTTGCTTGCTCTGTACAATATAGAGAAATTCTCACGGCCTCATATGGCCGTGAGAACCAGTAGCATCTCATACAGAATTCCAGAGTACCAGAACTAAAGAGGCCTCTTCTGAAACTCTTGGCACATGGTGCTGGAAGGCAGGACAGTGGCATCATTTTTGCATGCCTTGTAGGCACAAAGGAAAGTTCTCTCCAATATCTGAAGCTCTAGGATTGCTGCTGCTGGTGTATAAACCCTGGAATAACACTCATCTGTGGGAGTTATACAATCCTATCTTTGTATGCTTCAGGCTGGAATTCAATCCCTGGAATAATTGGCAGTCAACCTGAGAGACCTGGATAAGGACCCCGCTGTATCCTGTAACTCCAGGGCTGTCACTCTGTGTACTGTATTTCAGAGAGTCATGTAAATACACCTAGACCCTAGGAAATGGAGCCTTAATAAGCATTCCAGTGCTCCAGACCCAGACCTGCTGATACACAACCCTCAGCATAAACTGTATTCACCCTGTAGGACTCAGGAATGTCTCCTTAACATTTCCCAGCTTGGGACTTGAACTCATGATGCTAAATTTCTGGGTATTAGTCAGGCTAACATATCAGGACCTGGGGAATGTCTTATCCACATAGTATAGTAAAAAGGCCATAAATTTTGCTGCCACAAACACCAGAAATATTCATATTTGCCTGGTAGAAAAGGGTAGCATGACCAGAAATGTGGATACGGACATCACAAACCCCAGTATGGCTGACAACTCTAGGGACTAAGAACCTATGGAAGCTCATGCCACTTCAAAGTCATACTGTAACATCCACAAAAGGCTGAAGAACGGAAACCTGTGGCACATGTAGACAATGCTGACACTGATTACTAATGAGAAATCAAGTCTCAAGAACTTCAAAAGATTGAAATCATACCATGCGCCTACCTTCTCAGACTGAAATCAATCTAACTAGACATCAATAATAATAAAAAAGGGCACTGGAAAGTTCACAGGTACATGAAAATTAAACAACATGATGACCAATGCATCATTTTAAAAATTAAAAGAGGTCAGAAAATTTCTTAAAACAAATGAATATGAAAGCACAACATATCAAAGCATAGAACACAGCAAAAGCAGTATTAAGAGGGAATTTTATAATGACAAGTGCTTACATTTAAATTTGAAAGATCTTAAATAAATGGTCTAATGCTGCATCTCAAAAACCCAGAAAAGTGGCCAGCACTGTGGTGCAGTGGTTTAACACCCTGGCCTGAGTGCTGGCATCCCATATGGGCACCGGTTGGAGACCCGGCTGCTCCACTTTCTATCCAGCTCTTCTTCTTTTTTTTTTTTTTGGACAGGCAGAGTTTAGACAGTGAGAGAGAGAGAGAGAGATAGAGACAGTTATAGACAGTGAAAGAGAGAGACAGAAGGGTCTTCCTTCTGTTGGTTCACTCCCCTATTGGCTGCCACAACTGGTGCTGTGCCAATCTGAAGCCAGGAGCCAGATGCTTCCTCCCAGTCTCCCATGTGGGTGCAGGGACCCAAGCACTTGGGTCATTCTCCATTACCCTCCCGGGCCACAGCAGAGAGATGGACTAGAAGAGGAGGAACTGGGACTAGTACCAGGTGCCCCAACCAGGACTAGAACCTGAGGGTGCCAGCGCCACAGGTGGAGGATGAGCCAAGTGAGCCATGGTGCCGGCCTCTATTCAGCTCTTTGCTATGGCCTGGGAAAGCAGTAGAATATGGCCCAAGTCCTTGGGAACCTGCACCTGTGTGGGAGACCTGGAAGAAGATCCTGGCGTCAGATTGGCACAGCACTGGTCGTTATGGCCAATTGGGGAGTGAACCAGTGAATGGAAGACCTCTCTCTCTGCCTCTTCTCTCTGACTTAAAAAAAAAAAAAAAAAAACTCTGACTTTCAAAAAAATATATAAATCTTAAAAAAAAAACACAGAAAAAGAAAACAAGCCATAGGCAAAAATTAGCAGGGCACAAGAAAAAATAAATATAAGAACAGTCATAAATGAAATTGAAACTAAAAGAATATTAGAGATATAAAACAAATAGCTGGTTCTTTAAGAAGATAAACAAAATAGAAAAGCCTTTATCCAGAGTAACAAAAGAAAGAAGAAAAAACCTCAATAAATAAAATTTGAGAAGAAAAGTAGATGTTACAGTTGATACTACAGAATATGATGGGTCATAAAAAGCTGCTATGAACTGTGTGTTAACAAATTAAAAGCCTCAAGTAAATTCCTGAATATGTGTAACATATTAAGATTAAACAAGGAAGATATAGAAAATATAAATAGGCCATAGGAAGAAATACTACTGAAGTAGTAATTAATAAAAGTTTCCCAACAAAGAAAACCCTAAATTCTATAAAACATTTAAAAAGGAATAACTCAAATACTCTTCAAATTATTGCAAAATATTTAGAGTATACAAAACTGTAAGGGGCCAGCACTGTGCAGA